TTCTGATCTGAACTTATTTTTTCTGAAATAAGTAAAAATAAGTTGAACTAAACAAGACCTTAGTTTACACTAATATTATTGTGGACACGGTTTTTATTTTAATTTTTTATTTTAATTTTTTTACCTAATGACATTAATTTTAATTTATTATTATTTTTTTTTTTTTGGTTAAGGAGAGGGGCAGAGCCCCTAAAACAATAAGAACAAAACACACAAAACAATCAGCAGACTAAAACATAACAAGAGACACAAACTAAGAAAAAAGAAACGAAAGCAAAAAAATGCAGCTAGCAAACTGATGAAGATCAGGCTGCTTTATTCTTGAAGTTCGGCACCATACGCGGCAGCGCCACCCCTCCCAAGTCCTCCAATAAAATCCTATGAAGATCCCTCAGGACCTTCTCAAGCATAACTAGATTTCGAGCAGCTGTCACACCGTAATTAGCTAGCCAATCAGCCGCCGATTAGCTTCTATATAGCAATGCGACACCACTACTTCCCAGTCTGTGCCTTCGATGAGTGCCTTGCATTTTCGGATCATATGAAAATATTGAGAGTTGAGTGGAGTTTCATCCATCTCACATAAATTTGCTCTCTCTTGCGCTTACCCCCCCGGAGCAGTAATGCTTATCCCCTCTCCAGGATTTGCTTAATTAACCCAACTCGAGCAAAGATGAAGCTAATTTGGTCCACCGGGATCTTCGGCTCGTTGTTAAAGGTTCGTTCAGTGCGCCATCTCCACAGCCACCAACACACTACCATAAACAGCCTTGGCCATTCTTTACCTCTTATAGCATCATCGCAGAAGAGTTGCTTGAATTGGGAACCTCATTGCCTCCAAGCTTGTTCCATATCATACGAGCAGCAGGACACTCTTTTAAAATATGCAACACAGACTCCTCATTAGCCCCACAAACCTCACATCGAGGATCATCAGTTAGAGATCTAATGTATCTATTCTTATCCCAACCAAATAAAGAATCTAACTCTTTGAGGAACCAGGAGTCTCCATATTAACTTCCATCCTCTTACATTCTCAATTTCAATTGTGCTTTCTTCTCTAATGATTTCAATTGCCGATTTAATAGTGAATCCTCCATTTGGGAACCACTCCAGTAAACTTTATCGATTGTATCATCATCAGCCACATAATTAGAAGCTATTTTGCCTAGAACCTGATCAGAAAAGTAATCTGCAAAAAGCTCCAATTTCCAACCCTAATTGCTATCCCACATCTCCTTTACAGTCATATCTTGGATATGCAGGGGAGGTTCTCTGTTTGCAAGGTTGATGAAGGGTTGGTCCGTTGCCCACCTATGATGCTAGAAGAAAGTACACGTTCCATTTCCCACTGCCATATTAATTCCTTTCCTAACAACATCGACGCTGCTCATAATTCTTCTCACATTAGAGGCATTGGCTTTCTCTTGGAACATATCAAGGTCGCATCTGTCGTCACAATATTTGGCTCTAACAATTCGAGACCAAAGAGCATTTGGTTCGGCTAAAAGCCGCCATCCAAGTTTGGCTAGGAAAGCTTTATTAGCCTCCCTCATTGTATTGAAACCCAGCCACCCTTTCCTTTTGGCCTAGTAATGTTCTCCCAAGAAACCATATGAACCCTCCTCTGTCCATCTCTTTCTCCCCACAAAAAGTTCTTGTTTCTTCTATCTATTTCGTCACACGTGGACCTGGGCAACTTCGTGGCCTGCATAGAATAACTCGGGATTCTGCTCAAGGTTGATTAAATTAACATTTCTCTTCCCGCAATGGAAAGCGTTCTTGTCTTCCAACTTGACAGTTTTCCGTTGACTCTTATCAACCAAGTACTGATATTCACTCTTCGAAGTGCGACCATTAGCCATTGGCACTCCTAAATATGTTCCAAAATCATCCATGTGTTCCATATTAAGGCATTCACAAACCTTATTCCTGGTATTATAATTAGTGTTGCTTGAAAAAAAACATACTTTGGATTTAACAACACTCACACGGCTTCCAGAGGCCTCATAGAATTTGTTCAAGCATGATTGAATCAATCTTGCTTGATCTTCCGACGCTTCACTAAAAATTACCAAGTCATCAGCGAAAGCAAGGTTAGACATCGCCGGCCCATTCCGACTAGCCCTTACAGGCTTCCAACCTCCCAATTGCACTTCTCTATCAATAAGGTGAGCCAATGTCTCCATACAAATTACATAAATATAAGGAGAGAGGGGGTCACCTTGGCGAATACCCCGTGATGGAGTGAAAGCCTCCATAGGTTCCCCGTTCCATAAAATACGAAGCTTCGCAGACCTGATACATTGCATGATGATGTCAACCATCAATTGGGGCAGCCTTAGTTCCATTATTGATTATCAAATGAACTCCCAACGGAGACGGTTATACGCCTTCTCGAAATCAATTTTCACCGCCATCACCCCAATCCTACCTTGCTTTCCACGCATTGTATGAAGCATTTCTTGCATGATTACCACATTATTAGTAATTTGTCTCCTTGGAACAAAGGAGCATTGAGTTGGGGAAATAAGCATAGGTAACACAGGCTTTAGTCTATTAACTATTACCTTAGTCACTAGCTTATAAGTAATATTGCACAAGCCTATGGGACGAAATTGATTCGCCTTCTCTGGGATATCAATCTTCGGAATAAGACTAAGAATGCATCGTTAAGACCTTCTAAAAAATCTCTTCCCTCCAACACATCTTTCGCCATACTCACCAAACTAGGATGAATGAGTTCCCAGTATTTTTGATAAAACAGTGGTTGAAAACCGTCGGACCCAATGACCTTAATTTTAACATTAACATAGAGACCTTTATTAAATTTGTCTGGAAATTTACAATAATAGTATTGTCACTTTGAGATTCATACGTGCAAGCCAACTTTATATTGAACTAGGGTGGCTAACGCACGCGTCATAATTAGACCGCCTAGACATATCTAGGGAGCTCTTTCGGTTTGACCTTATACCACAACTTTAGTTGTTGGTAACATTAACGCGGAAAAATATGTAAACAAATATTTTTAGGGGTATAAATGTTCATGCACGTACTATTCTTAAGAGTTAAAAAAACAATTAACATTAACAAAGGCAAATAAATAAATAAACATTTAAAAAAATATTATTGTTCAAATACTATTCCTAAGAGTTAACTCCAACTTTTTAAAAGGTAGAGATTATAATTAATCAAGTTTAAAATGAAAAAATAGAGAAAACATATTAAATTAAGGGTAAATATGTAAATAAACATTTTAAGGGCATAATCGTCTCAACACTATCCATAAAAGTTATTCAAACTTTTAAAATGGTATAAATATATGTAAATAAATATTTTTAAAGGGTATAATCGTCTCAATACTATTCATAAGAGTTTAGTCATACTTTTAAAAAGGTGGGGATATAATGTCCTTTATTTTTCATATTGACTACTTAGCACTAGATCTGGCAATCCTGAGCTGACTCAAATGACCTGACCTTTGACCCGAAACTTGACTCGAAACCATTGCCCCGAAAATGACCTGAACTAACCCAACCCGAACCCGACCCGAAATGGAGTAGACCTGAACATGACCCGATGCCCGAAATGACCTGACCTGAATGACCCGACCCAAAATTGACCCGAAACCCGAACTTGACCCGACCCGAAGTGACCTAAAATCTGAAGTGACCCAACCCGATTTAAACCCGAATTGATTGACTTGAATCGACCCGACTCGAATTGACCAGACCTGAAGTGACCTGATTCCTGAAGTGAATAGAGTGAAATGGTGAATTACTTATTTTAGAGCTTCTTTCTTTCCTAAGTAATAGGTACTCACGATTATTTAATTTTCTTAATGATATTACTTTATTTTTCCAACTACTTTTTTTAAGTGAATTTATTTTGGTGACCTGATCCAAACTTGAATCGACACGAATTGACCCGACCCGAATTGACTCGACCCGAAATTGACCCGACCCGAAATTGACTCAAAAATTGGTCCTAAAATTTGACTCGACCCGAATTGACCCGACCTGAAATGACTCGACTCAAACCGAACTTGACCCGACCAAAACTTAACTCGAAGTGCTGACCCGAAACCCGAATTGACTCGACCCGACCCAAACCCGACCCGAATATTTGCTGACCCGAAATTAACCCGACGCGAACCCGATCTGAACGACCCGTTTTTCAGGTCTACTTAGCACTTAACTTAATACTGTATTTTAAAACCCCCCTCCCTCGCTGCGTTGGCCCCTTCCCTTAATATTATTGTAAACTAGGTATATTTAAGAGTTTATCAAATGGGACAATTTTTTACCAGCAAAATGAGGCATTTACATTTTTTTTATTTATTTATTTATTTTTTTTATTTTTTTGCCATTTTCAAGTTTAGTTTGGTCTTATAAATAACTAAAATGACCCCTAAAATCTTACTTGAGTAATTTTTACGATTAACAAATAACGACACGTGAATTGAGACATTTCATAACACGCAAACTGATGAATTTCTGTTTTTTTTTTATTTATATAGTTTTTATTTTTAACAATTTCGAGCTCAATTTGTATCGTTAAAAACCAAAATGATCTTCAAAAACTTGATTGAACATTTTTTGACACGTAAACTAGATTTTTATTTTTTTGCCACTAACGGAATCTTGATTGTTTAATTAGAGGAGACAAAACATATTAAGGTCCTGTTCACTTCACCTAATTTTTTCCGAATTGAAATTAATTTTACTGAACTGAAATTATATTTGCTGAACTGGAATTAATTTTATTGAACTGAAATAATTTTTGCTTAACTGAAATAATTTTTACTGATTCTCTATTATATTTCTTCTACTGAATTTTATTGAATTGAAATTAATTTACTGAATTTGTGAAGTGAACAAGGCTTAACTAGTATAGCAAAATTGAATTTTTTTTTTATGATTTTAAAGTTAGTAAAATTAAATTAAATTAAATTTACGGAGTATAAATAGTAAATATCCCTTTGAAAAACTACAGAGACAGATTTTTTAAAAAAAAATTACGAAAAATAACAATTGGGACAATCAGTGAATCATACTGTGTTCTTCTCTCTCTCAGTTTTCCCCCATTGTAGCGCACCCAACGTTTTCCATTGAAGCGCACTCCACGTTCTCAATTGTCGCAAGCAGCTTCTGAGGTAAGTTGTTGTTTCTTTTTTTCATCGTCGAATATCAATTTCACAATTTAGGGTTTGTCGTTAATTTAATTTAACTTAATTGTCAGTATAGTAAATTTAGGGTTCGGATTATTGAAATATTTGTTCTAGTAAGGTATGAAAGATCATAACGAGCAATTTTGTTTCTAGGGAAGAAAATTATGAGCTTAATTTGATAATTGAATAAAATGTGCCCTTCTGCCTAATATTAGTGAATTTTCGAGCTTAGTTTGATAATTGAATCAAATTTGGCTGCAAATGTATTGCAGAACCCTTTAGTGTTAGGATTGAACTATGGTAATCTGGTGTTTAGGGTATAAGTATGTTTGATTGTGTTAAATTTTAAGTATACGTTGATAAATTCCAATTTGTTGATGAATATTAGAGATGAAATTGATGTTGATTTTAATGATTGTAGGGTAATACTGATTTGTACTTGGAAAAATGGTTTTCGTTTGACATTATCAAGGCGTAGTTTGTTGATAGTATGGAGTATAAATTTGTATACCTTTTGGGGGGTTGAAAATTTGACGTTCAGTTAAGTAAAAGCCAAGGGCACAAATATGTGTAGAAAGAATAAACTATTTCCACTTCCTTCGAATTGCCTACAGCCCTTTAGATACTAGCTATTAAGGAATTTGGGTCAAAAGTAGCAATGGGAGACTTCAGACTTGTATGAATCTGATGATAGCATTCGGAATGTTTGTTCTCGCAATGCTATGGGCATTCAATAGAAACAGCATATGGAGAGGATGATGAACCATTGATGATTTTATTAGCTAAAGACCACATCCAATAGCTGGAAAAGGTGGGTATAGAAATAAAGTCAGACTTGGCATAGAAACAGCATATAACCAAGTATTGCAAGAGTATTTGTAGGTTCAATGGAAGAGCTTAGGTGGTTGAACCTAATTGATTGTGCATACCAATTTTGACAGTTGATAATGCCATATATAGTCCTATCAGAATGGACTAGGTGGTTAGAAAGTGATGTGTTGATGATCAGATTTTTTTCTGAAAATGTGGCAGAATTATAGATGTGATATTTATATCCTAGAACTCCTACTTTTTGAAAAGAGCAACTTTACAAACTACAATCAGTTTAGATTTTCCGAACTTAATTGACTGATTTACATGCAAAGATCAGAAATTTCACAAAATCAACACTTAATGTGTGATGTTTCTGAAATGAAAGGAGTAATGGAGTTGCTCAGGAGGATAAGAGCTTGATCATTCAATTAGCTTATTTTGGGAATCTGAGCTAAAAAGTTGGAGGCCTTTATCCAATAATTCTGATTTTAATCCAGCTTATAGTCTTGACTCTTGTGCTTCTTAGTTCTATGTTATCGTTTTGTGATTGTGTTTCCCTGATTGACTTGTATTGAATTGATCTACAAATGAGTCAAATCTTATTAAAATCCTGGTAAAAATGGTAATGTTAGTAGTACTCTTTTGAGTATCTTTCTTAATTATCAGCATCAAATTGGTATGCCACAATGATAGTACAATGTATAATTTGTATGATCTCTAAAGAGCATGTGAACCAAAGTTGCAGAAACCTGCTCAAGGAAGCGTGTATCGTTGTCAAGTTGATACTAGATTTTCACTCATGTTTTCTTATTCGTTCGCTTCTTGATGTTTCTATTTTTCATTGTTTTTGATCCTTTTCAAGTTCTCAACACGAATTTTTAACTGGGGATTATACTTGTGATGAGCGAACAAGTTACATTTTGGGGTTGGTGAGATGCTTAACCGAATCATCAATATGTGGTTGAGAGGGATTATCCTCACTTCAGTGCTTTGTTCAAATTTTCCATGCTTTACCAACCTTGTGAGTCAGAAACTTTGTATCTAGTTTATGCTATGTCATATCTTCATGCTCTCTAGCTGCTCTTATACAACTAATTTCTTCAACAAATAATTTTGTAATTCCTATACAAAATCTGAAGGATGTGCAAGCACCTGGGTTTCCTAGTGAACTTTATTCTCTATTGAGCTAACAACAACAACAACAACAAAAACAACAAAACCCTAGTCCTAAAAGGATTTGGGGTTGGCTAACTTGAACCTTCATAAGGAACTGTCCATAAAGAAAATAGCGCAGATCAAGATAATCAAATGCACAAAAGTTGGAAAAAAATGTGTACAGGGGGAACCAAAAAGAGTCTCTTGTGAGCTAACATTGGTCATAATTTAGTAAGATGATTCATAGTTCTATTATAGTATACAATGCAATTCAAGTCCAGTTTTTGTTATTATTTCATTGCAAGGCTGCTAAAATTGGTATTTAGTAGCATACAAAAGTTCATTCAAAATGAACTCATTCCTTTCTTTTGGCTGAGTTATATGTTACAGGGTTGTGATTAAGGATTTTGTAGGGGCGTCAATGCACGATATGTCTTAGCCCCAAAACAAGTCATACATACTACTTGGAATGGCATTAGTAAAAGACACTTTCCTAATATGTTCCAAGATTCCTAACATTTATATAGGTAGAGGATGGGTTAAGTGGTATTTTGGCCAAATCTCAACAAATCATTTATTGTGAGGAGATGAGACATTTGACTTTTCTGTAGAACAAAAGTGGTATAAAGCTTTATTGTAGCTCTTTGAGTGTTCCCTTTGGTCACAAATAATCACGGTTGCACCTTGTTTCACTGCTTCTAATGAAGTCTTTTGATGTGTGTTGTTTGCATGTTTTCTTATTACATTAATAATGTCTTTTTTCCTCGTTACTGTGGTCTACGTAGGTGACAACTTGATATCCTCTTGCTTGTCCCTATTCTCTATGATAGCTGCAATAAAATTGCCTATAAAGTTCCTTGTCTAGTTTGGTTGATTCATACTGTTTTCTGTGTTAGTGGGATTCACTTTGTTTACTGAGCTTGGATTCTTACAACCTTAGCTTAAAAATCATCAAGTTATTGGTTGAATATGGAGAATAACATCCAGCAAACAATATCTGTCCTGAATAAATAGTCACAATGTGCTATCAGTGATGATGGCGATAACACTAAGTTACAGATAAACCCTCCATCATATTTGCATCATTTTCACTCTCTATATTTGGATAATCTTAGTTCGAGTATTTTAGTAAGGCAATCAACAAACCACTACTACGTTTAGGTCTGTGATGATATTTCCCTAACATTCTTATATCAGTAATATGTGTCTAAAATATTTCGAAATGAGGGGTTTCTGAGGTGTGCTTCTTCTGTGTTTTCAACTGTTTCAATTTGAGTCGACTGGGATATATAATGATAAAGATCTGAACAGAATATTGCATGAACTCATTTCTTTGTATTTTGCCGTGCTTACCCTTCATGCTAGATGACTTTTCATGAACTTCTTTTATACTACTGTTAGGGTTGCTGATGACTTGATTCTTTCATTATGGTGTAGATTTTTATATCTGATAATACTTCTACTAACACATGTTTTATATCCATAACAGGAATCCTGCACTTTCAGCTTCAGTTTTGTACCTTTGTAATGGGTAGAGGAAGAGGTACATCTCAGCGAACAGCAAGTTGATACTAGGTTTCCACTTTGCTTCTTTTTTCTTTGGTTATTAATGTTTCTGTTTTTGTTTAATGTTATTTTTTTTTACTCCTTAATTACTTTTACTCTTAATCTTAGTCGACATGAATTTTTAAGAGTTGATTATTATTGTATGTGCAAGTGAATTACATTTAGGGATGATTGAGATGCTTAGCTGAATCATCAATATGATGTTTGCGTCAGTGCTTCTGTAAAATCCATACTTCACCAACTTTGTCACTTTGAGCCAGCCAACTCTTCTGCATACCAGTCTGAAAATGTTTATCTAGTTCATGCAATGTCAAATCTTCATGCTCTCTAGCTACTCTTATACATCATCATGCTCTCTTACTCTCTAGCTACTCTTATACACATAATTGTGTAATTCCTCTATTTAGGCAAAATTTGAAGGATGGCCAAGCACTTTGATTTCCAAGTGAACTTCTTTATTCTTTGTTGAGCTAACATTGGTCAACATGCAAATAAAGTGATTATTAGTCCTATAACGGTATACAATGCATTGCAAGCACAGTTTTCTTGTTATTACTTTATTGCAAGGCTGTTAAAAAATGGGATCTAGTGGGGAACAGAAATCCATTATAAGTTAACTCTTTCCTTTTATTTTTGGCTGAGGTTTGGTTTTATGTTAGTGGTGTGAATAGAGATTTTGTAGGGGCAGTCCTGTCACTGCATGAGCATGGGTCGCATGGTGATGGTGAGTGGCGGTAGAAATTTCCTTAAAATATATAGCTCATATATAAGCCAAAAGGAAACATTTTTATTGTTTTAGTCCCGAAACAAGTCATACATACTACTTTGGAACCATTAAAAAGCCACTTTCCTAATATCTTCCAAGACTCCTGAATTATATATAGAAAGAGATTTTGGCCAAATCGCAACAAATTATTTGTTGTGAGGAGGTGAGACATTTGACTATATTGTAGAACAAAAGTGGTATAAAGTCTTTTTTTTTTTTTTACTCATTATATTTTGGTTGTTTAGGTGTTTTTTTACTCATTATATTTTGGTTGTTTAGGTTGCTCATGTGTAATGCTCTCAATCTTTGTTTGGATGACAATTAATTTGTGTTATAATCATATGATTTATTACAATTAGTTTGATTTGCTGGAATTAGTGGTTAATTGAGGAATAACCAGGTTAATTTAGCAATTTTAGGGTTTTGAATGGATTTCTGAGACTGTGATTAAGCTCCACTTTAAGTTATAAGCTGATTGTTCTCTCTACTTTCTCAGAGCGCATATCTTCTTTACAAAGATGGTGGTTGATTATTATAGCTGGACCTAAATCGGAGTGCTTGAAGTTAAGGCTATAGTTTTAGAGTTGGAAGTATAAATGTTAAAAGTAGTGTTTTAAACTTGCCCTTAAAAAGAGGTTGCACTGTTATAGTGGTTCTGAGTTAAGATCACTTTGATCGCTTTTGACTATGGTTGCCTCTTTCAGGTTGTTTTGATAGAGATTCAGGTGTTGGAAAGTTGAATTTTCTTTTAAGCAAACTCACTAGGAATGACCTTAAACACCCCCCGTCCCCCTAAAAGTATTCTTTGTTCTTTTCTTTCAGCTCTTCTCCGTCTTGAAAGTTTTCTTACTATTAAATATTTTACTTTTCTAGGTCAACAGATCTCCATCCTCTCTTTTTCATCATTTTCAATATTCATTTTATTTAGCCCGTTCTGTCGATTGCATCAAATTCTGCCATCTTCAATTTGCGGAAGAAAAACAGAAATTAGAAAAAGAAATGCAAAAAAGAGAACAGGGAAAGCAAGGAGGGCCCGGAGGTGGTGTAGCCGCCACTCCGACACCGAAAAGGGGACGTCCGCTTGGGAGTGGAACTAACAGCGCTGCCGTTGCTGCTGTTGCTGCCGCTGCAGATTCCGCCGCACCTCATACTCTTCTGGGCCCTACCCTTCAGGTCCACAGTGCCTTTGCTGGTTTGTCTCTTCCTCTTACGTCTTGCTCTCTACTTCCCTCCAACTATTTTCAATTTCAATCTTATTCTTTTTTTATTATAACTGTTACTATAATTATTATTTTAGCACCAGAATTTTATCACCATAGGTTTCAATTTTTGGTGCATTGTGTTTCTGTATTCTGTTTATTTGTTGGTACTTGTTGAATTGTGCACACAAATTGGGTGCTTGGATTTCTAGAATTTGTTAGGTTGCATAGCTAAACAGTTTGATTATATGAGATTAGGAAAATGAGGGATGTCTTGAGAGAAATAATAGAGAAGTAGGAGTGGGAATTAAAAACAAAATGAATACCCGAGATTTCATTTACTTTCACCGGTTTTTTCATTAGTTTTTAAATTAAATTATGAAAACGTATCCAAAATAATTTTTTTAGATTAAATAGATTATTGTGAATGCTGTTTATTTTTGTCAATGTGTTTTCTTCATTTGAAGCTAAGTCGTGTATTAAAGATTTGTAATTGGTTATATACTTTCGAAAGTCATACTATCTACTTTAATGTAATTATGTTTCACTATTTATGCACAAAATTAGATTTTAGTTCTATGTATGTATATATTCCTGTCACTACAAATCTGTGTAGGTGTTACTTTAAGATTTAAACTCTTTGGGTTTTTCAGATCAAAACCAGAAAAGGATTGTTTTGGCTCTGCAAAGTGGCTTGAAGAGTGATCTGACATGGGCACTAAATACTCTTACTGTACTTTCTTTCAAAGAAAAGGATGAAATTCGTAAAGATGCTACCCCACTGACTAAGATACCTGGATTGCTAGATGCTCTTCTTCAAATTGTATGTTATTTCACACACTATCTTTTTTTATTCCTGACTTTACACAGACATTTGTAAATTTAGAAGGTGATCTGGAGCCTTGCTTTTTTACTTTATAGATTGATGATTGGCGTGACATAGCTTTACCTAAAGATCTTTCCAGAAACCGGCGGCTGAGGCTGTTGGGTGCAAATGCTCTTGTAACTGGTTTTGGAAATGAATATGAGGCGTTGGCTTCCAGTGACAATTACTCGCAATCCATGTAAGTTTTATTTGATTAAGTCATCATTATGCTTGCTTGATTTTAAATTGAATGTTAAAAAATATTACAACCCTTGAGCTGATTGTGGAAAATGCTTATTCAGTGCTGCCCCTGGTTCTTATTCATCACAAAAAATTACAACAAGACATCGACCTACTGGTTGGTGGTTTGAGGAAGATGGTTTATTCAATCTAGACGATGATGGGCTTGCTGAGAAGCAGCTGTGTGCTGTTGCTGCATCAAATATCCTCCGTAATTTCTCTTTCATGTATGAAAATGAAATCATCATGGCACAGCACCGTCATTGTTTGGAAACTGTATTTCAGTGTATAGAAGATCAAAACACAGGTGATTGTAATTAAATACGTTTAGTTTAAACTTAATGAAGACTCTATGCTATCATTGAAAGGCTTATTTGATTCTCCTTCAATGTGAAATTCTTATTGTTCAAGACAATCTTACAATAGTCATCATCCATTAATATCAGAAAAATGTATCCACTTAGAATGTTGCAGCATGAATAATCTATGTTTTGCTTCAAATTATTTGTTTTGCTCATTTGCTGTTTTGCGGGGGGCAGGGAGGACTTTTTTCAATGTCTTATGCTTAAATTCAAAATGTCCTGTTCAGTAATGATGCTTATCAACTTCCGTCTTTCTTCCAGAGGATGAAGAACTTGTGACAAATGCCCTGGAGACAATAGTCAATTTGGGCCCATATCTTGATCTACGAATATTCAGCTCTTCAAAGCCTTCATATATTAACATGACGTGAGCATTTGTTTTGCATCTGTAATGAGCAATTTGATCGCTGAAAGTGTGAGCCTGTTATTAATATTCTTCTTGGATCCAGGGAAAAGAGTGCAGTTCAAGCTATCATGGGCATGCTTGATTCTCAGATCAAAGCTTGGCATTGTGCTGCTGCAGAACTGCTTGGCCGTCTGATTATAAATCCTGATAATGAAACATTTCTTCTTTCATTTGCTACCCAGGTTGCAGCTACATACTCTCTTTACACCTACAACTTTCCTCAAGTTCCATATAAAAATCTTGAATATCTTGATAACATCCGTATCTTTGCAGATTTACAAACGATTAGTTGATCTACTGAGCTTACCAGCAGTCGATGCACAGGCAGCGGCTGTGGGGGCACTCTATAATCTCGTGGAGGTCAATATGGACTGCCGGTTAAATCTGGCAAGTGAACGATGGTGAGATATCTTTCCATTATCACTTCTAATAGCTGGTGGTCCACCTACTTAAGGATGATCACTAACCATGTATATGGCTTCCAGGGCTATAGATAGACTGTTGAAAGTAGTTAAGGCACCACATCCTGTTCCTGAAATATGTCGGAAGGCAGCTACGATCCTAGAAAGCCTAGTCTCTGAGCCACAAAATCGAGTTCCACTCCTTGCATATGAGAATGCGTTTGCGGAGATACTCTTCTCGGAAAGTAAGCATGCTGATACTTTTGCAAGGATATTGTATGAACTGACATCTCGGCCAAACAACAAACAAGGGTCAGCACGTGGAGTATGGGGCCTGTAGTAGAAGACCGATATTAGCAGAAAGTGATTAAAGATTTCAATCTTCAGGTTTTTTGTTTCGCCTGGTGTTCGTGAATCATGTCATTGTATACATTTATGCACGAGCAGGAGCTAGTTCATAACCAAAATTGAAATGTATACATTTATGCATGAGCTTAAGCTAGTTTATAACAAATATTGAAAGGTTTTGTGTCACTAATTACAAGGTGCAACCACATGCTTTGTACGTTGTTTCTGAAGGACTGTTCCAACATAAACAAAATCAATCTTACTAGTGAGGTTTGATCTTCCAATCTCTTGGTTGTGAGATGCAAACATTCCCAATAGACCAAGCGTTGCTTGGTTAATGCAATATTTTCCTTGAAAGGCTGAAAGGAAAGCAAACTTAATGAAGTAATCTAAAGGGTATACATTTTTCATATTATCAAACAACTTTCATTGGTTAATATAGTACCCATTCTCTTCACAATTTCATTGGTATTTCCAAATAATTTTAAATTATGATCTATCCAAGATCAATAAGATATTTCCATTTTAAATAATCGAAGTTACAATGATTGTTTTTATATAAAATAATGATATTTTAGGTCAAATTATAATCAAAAGGGAATTACGATTTAAAAAATTAATTTCAAAAACCAATCAACAACTTGGGATATCGCTTAGGCACACGTACTTAATTATATAGATATATAGGATCAAATCTAAAACAAAAAGGTTTATTAATTATAGATGGACCTGTAAAAAAAAAATACCTAGGAATAAAGAGTGATTACAAATGTGAAGAGAACAAAAAATGTATAATTGCTTTTAATTATGATAAATTTAATTTTAATATATAATTTTTATGGGTCGGTTACAGATCGGTTATGTAATGGTCGAGTCACATTGGTATCGGAAAATGTTAAGTTGTTCTTTTAGGTCGGATAATATTAAATAGGATCATTCTAAATTCAGGTGTGTTAGTTGAGGTGAACTACTACAAGAGAGGGGGAGAGGTGAATTGTAGTGAGTTCCTAATGACTACTTTTTGCGGAATAATACAACATAATATAGTAGGAACTAGCAATACACACAGGATTTTACGAGGAAACTTTCAAGGGCCCAACTGAAAGTAAAACCTTGACCTTCCAAGGGATTTCAACCAAACCAATCCATTATAATATGGCAACAAACCTAGTTACATTCCAGAACAAACTTGTTACACAGTAAAACCCTATTCTACCCAACTTAAGTCCCTGACTTAAGTTCACTCGCACTCCCAGAGTACTCACAACTCAGCTTCAACCTTGAAGCCTACAAATTGTATGCAATATGCTAAACACTCACCCAATACCCAAAACAATACAAACACTTGACTCTAATATGTGATTGGAAAGCAACACATGAAATCCGAAACTAATATGACAAAGCTATGATCTTGGCAAACTTACTCTTAAGCACTCTTCACATTTTCACGCATAAACTCACAAGTTATTTAATTATGATCTCTTCTTTATATACAAGAAACTCTTGTATGTAAAGTAGGGTTTTCAAAAGATAGAATCTTTAAAACTGCGTTTTATAAAACCAATCAAGAAATAAATCTTGTAAGAAAATCTTTTAGAAAACTTAACAAAGATATAATTTAGAAAAAGATTGTTATTTTGCAAACCAGATTTTATAAGATAAAATCTCTCAAAGATATTTTCCTAAATCTAAAACTTATCTTTTTTAAGACTTTCCATAATTATAAAGCTTGCCAAGCTTTGCCACGCTTCTAATAGATTTCATGCATAAACAATCCAAACATATTTACAGCAATTCTAATAAAAATAAACTTATTAAAATCTTAACAAAAAGACTCTAAGTATACTGCTGAATTGCCTCCTCAAGCTTCGCACTATATGAATACTCGGGCTTTACGTAGACCAGGATTGAGTTCCTTCTGTCTTCAACTCTCCACCTTCTTGATGGAACTCGCAGACCAAGTTCTTGTGAAACTTGCTGTCTTCAACGCTGTCCAAGCTAGTCTTCTTAGCTTGTTGTCCAGCTCCTATTAGGAAGCTTCTCTTCGTATTCCTGTTAGGGATCACATCTAGTTCCAATAAGGAACTCTTCTTCTATTCTCTTCATCTTTCCTCTAACTCTCCTTGGATCTTCATAGATAGGTTAGTCTTCCACTTCCAAAGTCAACTTCACCTGTTCTAATTCAACACTTAGAGAAATCACATTAGTTGAAGTTTGCCTATTCTCATCAGCATCAAAACCTCTTAAGGTTCAACAAGGTGGAATTAAAAAACCTTAGTTACTTATTATGCGCAACAATTGAATTTTTTATATCTCACAAATAATACCCCTTGAAATAACAGTAGTATTTTTGTGTAAAAAGTCAATTTTAATTCAGTTTTATTTATGTTCAATTTGAGTTACTCTCATATTGATTTAAGTCAGCATCGATTTTGACAAATTGGTATAGGTTTCTAATTTTGTATTGGTTTATTTTAGCAATCTAAAATGGGAATAAACCCAAAAGCAATTGCAATTAACATTATATTAGGAATTCTCCTTGTGAGAAGAGCTTTCTAATATTTATTTTTCTTATTTTTTAAAAGGAAGAAAAAAAAAATTGTAATTAACATGACCGTTATATCTTGGAATCCGATTCAACCTGAACGAAGTAACCTGAATTCCGTTTCCATTTGATTGATAATGTCCACCATTTGATTCAAAGGGTCATACATTATCAGGTTAAATTGGATGTTTGATTAACGCCAAGTTGATTTGGGATAGTTTTGATATCCAAATTCTTCGTGTGTAATCGTGTTATATTTCGGTTGGTTTCAATCGGTTACTTGTACCGAGTCACTTTTTTATTTTTTATTTTTTATTTTTTAATTTTTTTTTCTAATGTAAGTTTACATCCTTTTATTTTTATTTTTATTTATTTTTGTTTTGTTTTTAATTAACAACTCTACATCTAATACGTACTCGAAACAACTATTCATCAATGAATTTCAAGCTGAATTAATGCTAACTCACATATTGTATTGCTTCGGATGAAGTTTTTTTTATTAAGGTGATCGTTGATCGAATATGCGATGTATTCAGTTCTAAAGTGATTTGTACTTGTGTTGGACTTCTAATTTTCTTAGGAATTGTTTGTAAATGCCGTTTGGTTTTTTTTATTAATGAAATCCCTTTTCTTCTTGTAAAAAAAAAAATAAAAAATAAAAAGGTTGTAACTTTACATTATACATTACGTAGAAAGAGCCTAATGTTATGATTTAGTGTATATATTTTTCCTAGTTGTGTGTTTTTTTATATGTTCTCCACTAGTTTGGTCTACTTGTTTTATTAATTTTGAACCTTGAAATAATTAAATGCTTAATTTAATGAAATAATCTTAATTGGAGCGGACTTTTCAGAAATTGCGAAGGCTTTGAATGCTCCATTATTTTAAAAAGGATTTTTTTTTTACTTTTATCACAAAAAAAAAAAAAAAAAGAAATTGTTTTTTACCACTAAAACTTCTCAAAATTTTATTTACCACAAAAAAAAATTTAAAAATTGATTTCCATCAATATAGCTTAAATTAAAATTTATTCCTATATATGATTCGGTGTAAAAAATAATTCCCAAAGTATTGTCCACCCAGGATCGGTTATCATTTTAGTTTTATTTTTGTTATTTAATTTTTTTCTATAATTTTTTTAAAGTAGTAAAACCGCTATCGTCGTTAGCGGTTTAAAGAGTAAAACCGTAATCACTGACAGCGGTTCTTATTCTTTTAATAATTGCACCCAATTCTTCTTTTCCACCTCATTTCATTCTATCGACAAAACACTAGTAGAAAAACACAAATGCTCACCGAGGAATTCGCACTGGTTCTTAAAAACCGGTGGGAAAAAAACAAGGTGGGATTTAGTGTAAGAGCAATGGCATCGGTTCAAACCAAACCGGTGTGAATTTCTTGAAATGGCACCAGTTCAAATCGGTGCCAATTGTTTTCCTTTAAAAACCCGCCTCTTTTCCTTCTTTCTCTTTCCCCTCTACTTTCTTTCTGTTTCCTCAGTCTCTCGTTTTATCTCTCTCTTCTCTCTTCTCTCTCCTCAACATCATCTCTTTCCCCCCACTTTGTTGTTCCTCACTCTCACTGTCTTCTTCCATCCACCATCTATTCATCTTCTTCTTCTTCGATTTCTGGGTTCGATTTTCCTAAAATCGATTTTCTATTCATCTTCTTCTTCTTTGTTTTTCTGGGTTCAATTTTCCTAAAATCGGTTTTCTATTCATCTTCTTCTTCTTCGTTTTTCTGGGTTCGATTTTCCTAAAATTGATTTCTATTCATCTTCTTCTTCTTCGTTTTTCTAGGTTCAATTTTCCTAAAATCGATTTTTCGCAAATCAGAAACCCTAGATCTGTGTTTGAGTCCCTCGATGTCGGCCATGAATGTTTTACCATTACACCTTGCGTTATTTGAGAGTTACGATGAAGTTGAAAAGGGGTTAATCTTAGCCCTAATTGACGCACTTGAGTAGGGGTCGTTGTGGCCTGAGCTCCTTTACAGTTCCGGCAATGGCCTTGACATAATGCTCCAACTGAGTCTCCCTATTCGAAATGAACTTGCTTGCTGACATTTGTTGGTAGATTTCTGAAACCCTAACCTCTCTATTATTTAAGTTTTCTAAATTTATTTTAATTCTATACTTAGAAGCATGTTTAAGTGGCGGATGAACAATTCATGTTGTATACCAGCATACGTTGCTGGCGGGCTAGATTATTGTTGCTGGATTATTGTTATGAATGATGAGCATGTGTACTATTAATGTGCCTAATGAACCTCTTTGAGCGGACATGCTGTGTGCTATAGATATCATAATGCGTTGAGTCCCTTTGCCGTAAATAGTTACACTAGGATAATCCATATGATGAAGGGACTCACTTTCATCGTACAACTTTCACTGTGATTTTCTCTGGTTTGTCCGTTGAGGTAACATAGTTTGAGAAGTTTTTGGATGAAAAAAAACCACCCGATGGATTCATGAATTATTTGCTTTATTTTGAGGAAATTTGCGGTTTTTGTTGATGAATGTTGTTGAAATTTACGTTGTTAGTTGATGAATGTTGATGAATGAAGTGAGGTTTTTGTTGATGAATTTCGGTTTTTGTTGAGGAATGATGATGAATTTTGCGAAATTTTGAATTAGCTTTACTCGTAACATATACGGAGTAGTACATGTCATGCATATAAATTACCCTAGGGAAAAAAGTTACCTTGGGGGGGAAGGGGGGGGGGGGGGTTAGAGTAACT